TAATAAGTTGGAGGTGCAACCATTGAAGTTTGTGTGAAACCCCCCTTGTGAAGAAAGTCAAGGCGCCACTGGCGTCAGTGTAAGCGGTGTGAAGAGTTTCTGGCCCCTTCACACACTCCAGCTCTGTAACACTGAGACGTGTGTGGTAGGAAAATGTTACATTCTGTATCCATGTCAAGAAAAGGAAGACATAAGAAAAAAAAAAAGAGGTTGACTCACTCTTGTAGAGGCGTACCTAATGATGTGGCCAATGGCAATCTCCACAGATCACCAGCAGATTTGTGGCAATTCAAAGATGACACTTTACGAATAGATGATTTGGGTTCTGTATGGCTAATTAGCACCAAGGATCATTTTATGAAATATTCTCATCAGAAGTGCTCTAACCTAAAGAGATGTGACGTGAAAGCGAGTGACAGGGACGAGGAGTGATGATAAGCCTTAGCTGGGGATCTCCCGCGGGCTTTGCTGCACCGAGTGCAATGCTTTCATATCTGTCCCAGATTCATAAAGGCACCTATCCGAGGCGGAAGCCAGGCTTCTCATAAACTCAAATCTGTATGCAAATGCCCACCCTCACGATATTTAGCACAGAAATGTAATCAAAGCCCTGTGATGCTCGCGCGAAGGAAACAAGTCGAGAAATTCCACGTCCCACGCCCCCCTTGGGGAAACACGGCACCGAAGCACACGAACAGTTTCCTATATCATTAAAACATGTGTGACGAGCGCAATCCCCCAATTAGAGTGAGATTTATCAGCTATCCTCATCACCGTCCCGAGGAGCTCTGCGGTGATGAGGTGTCACGTCGAAGAAAAGGACAATCCATGACAGTAATAGCTTAATTGGCTCCGTGTTACATTCACACGGTATAAACTTTGGCGCAAAGCTTGTTGACAAGCACACCCCAAGAAAACAAATCACAATTGGTCCCATGGAACTGCTGCCTTATAGAAAATGTCATGTGTAGGCATCACATTTTCTTTCATAAGAAATGACACAAATGTACCGTATTTTTCCACGCTATAAGGCACTTTGGAGTATAAGGCGCACCTTCAATGAATGGCCTATTTTACAACTATAAGTTACTACACAGAGTTATAAGGCGCATAGAATAGAAGCCACGATAGCGGTTGCGCTATACATCCACTAGATGGAGCTATGCTACATGAAATACAACACAATACAGCTTTCTTGATATCGAGCTTTCACAACTGCTGCAGCTGTAACAAAGCGCTTTACACTATTATTATTTAAAAAAACTACATCCAAGAAACCAGAATATTGATCCATATATAAGGCGTATCGGATATATAAGGCTTTTGAGAAAAGTGAAGGCGTTATAGTGAGGAAAAACAGTCATTATTCATTTCCAAATTGTGGCCATCCTTGTTCTTCTGCAGACCTTTTTTGCTATTCGCCGTCACTATTTTGGATGACATTTCGGTGGAGGTTTTATAGATGAATGTCCTTCCTGAATCCATCTCTCCCTATTTCTCCAGACTTGGGACTAGCAGCGACTTGGCTAGCTTTTCCCACCCCCGAGAGGTTTGGTAAGCGAAACAAAAAAGGTTAACAGCTTTTTTCAAATAACATTTTTACATTCGTACTGTACCAGATCGGGGTGTACCCCGCCTACTGCCCAGTAACTGATGGGCTAGGCTCCGGCATGCCGGTGACCCTTGTGAGGATAAGCGGATTAGAAAATGGTTGGATGGATGGACATTTATATTGTGCAAGTGTAAACATAAGTTAATTACAGTATAGTGAATTTTCAAACAATAAATCGCCTATCTATAATTGTGAGTCTGACTCTTTGAAAAGTGCTTCACCAATATATATATAGACCAATGTATTAACTTTAATATCGAACTGAGCAGCCGTGACAGAGAAATGTATGAGGCCATAATACGAATGCAGCGAGAGTGCGAGCGAGGCAGCTGTTGTAAAGCACACACATGTGCCATTGTAGCTGACAGCTAATTTGAGGTGCGCACAGGAAGTACGGTCAATATTACAGGAAACAAATCCTCTCCACCAGGTTCATAATTTGGGGTTAGGATTGCTCCTGAGCCAGTGACTTGCGTGACCTCACACATGATTTGAGGTGTGACATCTGACGGCTGACCTTGGGAGTCATCAAATCTAGAGTATACAATGAAGTATAAAGAGTATCAAATTGACAAATTGCTCATAATGTTGTCATCTTACCCTGAAATAAGTACATCGGAATCTGTTCTTCGTTTTTCTTTTGATGCTACACTGACAAACTTAAGATTTGTGAGTCAACTGAGGCTTAAGGCGAAGGACTACTAGCACTGCTGGAATGAAAAAATAAATAAATAAAACACCATTTGAATTTCATAAGAATATAATCCACTAAATAAATACCACATGATGTGCATCCTCCCTGGCTTGAAGACCAATACATTCCTCCTATTATTGCGGTTGAGTCGACTTATCCCCTGTCCACCCACTTTCTCCGTCACTGGCCCTGATAATAATATGTTGTCAAAAGCAGGGGCTGTAATTTGTAATAGGGGATATTATCCAAAACAGGGAACAGCTATCATCATGCTTGCAGACCTCCCAGAGAACATGACACAAATGCGCAGGAAGCCTCCTTTCTTCACAAATGTGACTCACACAACATTCGCACAGAAGCTTTTTCACGACTTTGAATGACACACTGCAGCACCACTTTTACTCAGCCGCGTTTCAAGGTGTTGTGTCAGGAATGGGCAGGTAGAGCAAGGCCACCTAGAAAGTACCGGGTGTGTCAGGATGCCTCTTTTTGTCGACTTTTGCATTGTTTTTGGAGTGGATTTAGTTTTGTGTCGTGATGTGTCTTGGTTTCCTGTGTCCCTTGTTCATGTCTTCCCGGTCCGCTGGTTATGTGTTCATGACTACCTGTTCTCATCAGCTCTGCTCTTTGTGTCTCCCAATCAGCTCTCTCCAGCCACTAGTGTCATTTTTCCAAACCTTTCCCTTGTCCGTTTTACTTAAGTATTCCCAATACCAACCCGCACATATTTGTTTTCCCTCTGACCTTTTACTTGGGTCCCCGTTTGGTTCTTTATTTTGGACCACAGCATGGTGGCCAACGGAGGCGGCCAGGTAAAGGTCAGTGTCATTCTGTTGGCCTTGATCTGTCATCACCTCGCTTGTCTTGACACGATGTTCTGCTTGGTTTTCCTCTCATTCCAAACATGGATTCTCGTCATGTCGTTTGCACACACGAATCCAAGTCACCTCGTTCTGTTGCCCCCGTACCCGAGTCACCTCATCATTTTGACTTCCTTCCAAACTATATGGTGGCTTTCCAATCAGGCGGGCAGCTCAGGGTCGCAGTTCTGGCCCTGCGACTGCTCAAGGACCCTGTACCAGCTCAGCGGCTGATCATGACTCAGTCACCTGTTCATGTCGAGATTGGGTGGCCCAGACCCCAACACTAGTCACCCATCAACGTTTCAACTTGCCAAACGTGAGCCCCAGGCCAGTCACCCGTCCACATTGAGACTGGCCGGCTGGGACCATCGGACCAGTCACCCTGTTGTGACCACATCCAGCGGCCATCATCCAACCCTCCGCCGGCAGCACAAATCCTACGGCCGTCATCAGCTGTTCAGTCAAGACCTCATGTCGGGCGGGCTATGGCAACTCCAAGTCGTTCACCTAAATGGCCACAACAAGACTTTGCAAAGCCTTGGACCCTGGCTGTTCAGTCAGATTTGGTTCTTTGTCCGACATCATGTGTCTTGTCATGTTGTGCTGTCGATCGTGGTGGTGACTCTTTCTCTTATCTTGTTTTTTTTTTTTTTTTGGGGGGGGGTATTTTTGTCTATTCAGTATTTTTACCTTGAAACACGGTACTTTTTTGTAAATATTTTACAGAACCCTGCTCTCTTGCACATGGGCCCCACCTGTGTCTTTGCCTGCACTCCACCACAACATGCACAAACGCAAATGCAAGCGCACGCACACACACACACACACACACACACACACACACACACACACACACACACACACACACACACACACACACGATGTGACTGTGGTTCAAATGCCATGAACGCGTATGATTTATTTATGACTAAAAGTGGGATTCCAGCAGCAAATGTGCTTTCCTAATGTAATATATCACCTTCTTGCTCCATCTCACAATCAGATAGCTGCACAAAAAAGGGTCCTCTTGCACCCACAAAGTATTTGAATGCTGCTTAATTCTGCAATCAGATAGGATATTCAAAAAAAAAAAAAAATCTTTTAGACTTCAACCATGGAACCCTTCTAAACTGAACCCCGCCACTCCTTTTTTCTCATTGCAACACTACAGCACCACGGTTGTCCAGCAATTAAAATGAAATTCTTCACTTTTTTTTTTTTTTAATCACTCTTTGCTGAGGGATGTGCCACAGAGCTCTCTTTATGTCAGACAGTACATCAATAATGCACACACAGCTCAAACTGGCTCGCTCGAATGGCTCAACAACCTAAAAACCCATCATGAAAGGATGTGAGTGCAAGCATGCGCGTGTTTGTGAATAAAAGTCTGAGGGCGTTGGGAGCCTTGACTTTCAAAACCTTTTGAATTTTGAAAGCGTTTTTTGAACACGTATTATTGACTGCATTATTTTCTGACATCACATTTAATAGTTTGCTATAGTGGAAAAGTAAAGGCTGTTGTGAAGAGGTCAGGGGAAAACACTTATTCAGTGCAGACACTTTCAATGCATGCAGGATTGATTGCTTGCAAATTATTGCATGCTCCTTTTTTTGTGTCAAGTCTTAAATTCTTACCGCAAGAAATCTGTCAAATGTGTCCCCCGTGTGACACCTAATTTGTTCAAGCAAATACGTTTTACGTGCTATACTGTATATATATGTATTAAAAAAAATAATCAAAAGAATTCAAGGCAAAAGTCCAACAGTGGGTGCGGCACCTCACACGCAACTTTCCCCCGACTTTGCGCCCCCCAACAGCGCGCAGACTGACCTGCAGGAGACCGTGACTTCCACCTTGGTGGCGGGGATGTTGCCGGTGATGGGGTCGAAGTCGTACACGGATGACATGTTCTCCATCTTGTTCATCACCTCCCTTTCCACCACGTCCATCTCGAGGGCGCGCGGTGGCTCCGGTCTGATCCGGGAGGCGCAAAGCCTGGCCCCGATGGAGCGCGTCGAGTCTCCACCGACTCCGGAGACCAGATCAGAGACCAGGTGGTCTCCGGTCCGACCCGGTGAGGCAGCCACTTCAGATATGTTGAGGCTGGAGATGAAAGTGAGCAAATGTGCTGGTGAAAACCCACGAAGGCAGACGTGCAGTTGGTTATGTGTCCATACAGCCGGGGAAGTTTTGCGGTGTGATTGTGCGCCGAGATGAAAACTGTTCTTCTCCTTGCTCCGTGTGCACAGTGGAGCATGTGGAGAGGAAGAAACGCAGCAGATGCACTCAAACGTATCGTCCTCCTCCCTGAATGAATCACGATCAAGTGTTGGCGACCCTGCCCAAAGCCCACGGCATGCAGAGAGTGTGCGCGCAGTGGTTCGTTCACGCGCGGATTTCTTTGACGAGTTGACGTGATCGCAAAAAAAAAAAAAAAAAAAAAAAAGACGATGGTTACATGTAATTCAATCATAGGCTTCCCAACGCGATGGTTGCGGAGTTTGTTGATGCGCTAAAGATTTCCAAGGGGGTTCCCCAGTGACTTGCGGCTGGCAAACGATGGCGATGGTTTAGAATGAAGAGCTTTGAATGCGCATGCTTATGTTTTTTTATTGAATATCTGTGACCAAAAAAATACGTCAAGAATACCTTTTCTATAACTCACTGGTTAAATGTAATTTTTTTTTTTTTTTGGTCATTTCATGGCAACTGTAATAACGGACAGATGCCCTAAAGAATGCTGGGGAAAATACTTAGCATTCACAACAATAGATGGGCAACTGTTGAAAAAAAACAAAAAAAAAACGGAGATCATTTGGGGGCCAGGGGGTGTCCGTGAAAAATTAGGAAAAATCCAAAATATGAAAAAAATATTGGCATTTTTTTTTTCAAAATAATCCGCGGGTGCCAAACGGCAAACATGCAGCGCTACTAAAACAGATTACTAATTTGTGCACACAAACATTCTTATTTGTTCACACTAAATACTATTTCATGTACAGCAATTATTGCTTCGTGTGCGCGAACTATTTCTTCTTGCGCATGAAATAGTTAAGGCATGGACAAGAGGGTAAACAAATTGCGCGCACCTTCACTGACTCGCTTCTCACTGACCTAAGTGCCTTCAAAAACCCACAACTTATTGCATTTGATGTTTTTATGTTATACCAACATGAAGTAGTGATATTATGACAAAAAGTTTTCATTTCGTATGCATCCACCGTGTAACCGTGATGCCCCCCAGAGAGATCGTTGCAGTTGCTGCGCCGGTGAAGCTAGCTTTTTCTTGGTGATAATCATTCCTTGCAATGCCTAGCTTTTCATGATGTCCTTGTCACTCATCCCGAACCTAAAATAAAATTCGATCACGCTGTCCCTGCCCATTATTTCTTTCCTTCGACCTTTCAACTTTGAAAGAAGGTGCGTTCGATTTTTCATTCAAGTGATCGGGAAGGTGCTATAACTACTTCTCGCGCACTTTCGTTTGTTCTGATTCTGAAAGGCGATTCTGATTTTTTTTGTCCACACAGTGTATTGAATGCGCACAAAGTAGCAGTTCGTGCCCACAAATTAGTTCCTCGTGCATACATAATCGTCACAGCATGTGCACAAAGTCGGTTTTTTTCTTCAAATGTCATGTCTGGGGCTCCGTAATTTTTAACCTTTAAAAACAGCCCTCTCTGATGACGACATACTACATCCACAATAAGAAAATCTGTTTCTTTGGAAGTGTCAAAACAAAGTCCTAATCATTCCTGTATTGTCCAACGGTGGAACACGCGTTGCTCCATGTACGTTTGTGCCAGCGGAGGCGTGCGCTCAAGCAGTTTTAAGAAGTGCAGCTACCAAGTAAAATATGTTCAAGCAGGCTGAGGCCAAATCAATATTAATTACACGGAAGGGAATTACATATTTAATGGCACGCATCCATCATTGGCCAGTTGTTTGCCGCTAAGACTTTGGACCCAGTAAACTATTGTAATAAATATGCAAAACTGGTGCATGTGGCGCATGCCAACAATGAAATGGGTTTGCCATATTGAGCTAAGTACACTTCCCAAATGCAAGCAGTCTGCAATGGAGCCTTTGTTAAGTCCCTCACTCTCAATCTCATGAGGGGGAAAACATCACATTTGAAGGACTACGGAGAGCACAGCTGGCATTTTCGATTTAATATGGCAGCGGAGACCACACATCCGTAGTTTGTCTCCAGCTTCTCTTCTTGCTGACATGTACACACACATACACACCACCGCACAGTCTCACACACAGCTTTGCACAGTTTCCCACTCATAAATGGATAGAGAAGCACATGGCTTTCCTTGCAAAAAGCCGCTATAGTTGTCTGGATTCTGGAAATCAATTTATGCCAGCAAAGGAAGCCCCTGCCCACACAGCCCTCCAGCTTAACATCAGCAACACACACACACATGCATACACACGCATAAAAAACGTTTATCTTCTCGCACGTCACTGAACAGCCCGTGTAGAAGTACACACATGTCCACATGCGCACCTTTTCCTCCGATTCATGTATTTGAAAGGTTTGATGTGGATGCGCACGTGAAGCCCCCCAGAGAGATCGTTGCAGTTGCTGCGCCGGTGAAGCTAGCTTTTTCTTGGTGATAATCATTCCTTGCAATGCCTAGCTTTTCATGATGTCCTTGTCACTCATCCCGAACCTAAAATAAAATTCGATCACGCTGTCCCTGCCCATTATTTCTTTCCTTCGACCTTTCAACTTTGAAAGAAGGTGCGTTCGATTTTTCATTCAAGTGATCGGGAAGGTGCTATAACTACTTCTCGCGCACTTTCGTTTGTTCTGATTCTGAAAGGCGATTCTGATTTTTTTTGTCCACACAGTGTATTGAATGCGCACAAAGTAGCAGTTCGTGCCCACAAATTAGTTCCTCGTGCATACATAATCGTCACAGCATGTGCACAAAGTCGGTTTTTTTCTTCAAATGTCATGTCTGGGGCTCCGTAATTTTTAACCTTTAAAAACAGCCCTCTCTGATGACGACATACTACATCCACAATAAGAAAATCTGTTTCTTTGGAAGTGTCAAAACAAAGTCCTAATCATTCCTGTATTGTCCAACGGTGGAACACGCGTTGCTCCATGTACGTTTGTGCCAGCGGAGGCGTGCGCTCAAGCAGTTTTAAGAAGTGCAGCTACCAAGAAAAATATGTTCAAGCAGGCTGAGGCCAAATCAATATTAATTACACGGAAGGGAATTACATATTTAATGGCACGCATCCATCATTGGCCAGTTGTTTGCCGCTAAGACTTTGGACCCAGTAAACTATTGTAATAAATATGCAAAACTGGTGCATGTGGCGCATGCCAACAATGAAATGGGTTTGCCATATTGAGCTAAGTACACTTCCCAAATGCAAGCAGTCTGCAATGGAGCCTTTGTTAAGTCCCTCACTCTCAATCTCATGAGGGGGAAAACATCACATTTGAAGGACTACGGAGAGCACAGCTGGCATTTTCGATTTAATATGGCAGCGGAGACCACACATCCGTAGTTTGTCTCCAGCTTCTCTTCTTGCTGACATGTACACACACATACACACCACCGCACAGTCTCACACACAGCTTTGCACAGTTTCCCACTCATAAATGGATAGAGAAGCACATGGCTTTCCTTGCAAAAAGCCGCTATAGTTGTCTGGATTCTGGAAATCAATTTATGCCAGCAAAGGAAGCCCCTGCCCACACAGCCCTCCAGCTTAACATCAGCAACACACACACACATGCATACACACGCATAAAAAACGTTTATCTTCTCGCACGTCACTGAACAGCCCGTGTAGAAGTACACACATGTCCACATGCGCACCTTTTCCTCCGATTCATGTATTTGAAAGGTTTGATGTGGATGCGCACGTGAAGGCAGAGGTTCCAATGAGTGGGTTGATCAGACAGAAAAAAGAAAATGGGAATAGAAAGACCTTTTGAATGACAGACGCTGTCTATTTTTTGCAATAATTCGACAAACACCGCAATCAACTACCGGTTTGTGGTGGAAAAACACTTGAAGCAATTATCAGCTAATTACCGAGAAACTGAAGCTCAAAATGCAGATGCCAATTACCAAAGGGAATCACGGCCAAGCAGGCGCGTTGTGTAATCGATCGTCCAGAGCGACAAAATGCCGGATTCTTGCGTTAAATGCTTTGGCTCTATCCAACTGAGATGGAGCAGGAGGTGGTCAGTGCTTTGTGCTGGTGGTGACATTAATAACACCATAGGGGATTCAAATGCCCCCTTCCGTCCATCTCTTGTCCCATTTCCTCCTTCCTGCAGCTTCGTAAGCGCTAATTACTGAGTTTCGGCTTCCGAACAGCAGGCTGTCCAAAAATACCATCTTTTTCCAAGGGCAAAAACACACGAATGTCCTGTCAAGCAAGATACACTATGTTAAAAGATGTTTATTTTAGCAGTTTTAACGTGTAATTCCAATTCATCGTCTTATTTAAAGTACGCCCTGGATGGCTGAATGTAACATTTTGGGCAAATAAGTGTGAGGCACACGTTCAGGGGCGGAAAATTTGACGTCAGGCGCGTAATTGGTAGTCAAACTTAATCAGGTCCTGTAGTTGGAGATGTTGTTAATGAAGAAGCCCATCTGGCAGGGGATGTGTCATCGTCTTGTAATGACCTGTGAGTTCTTGGGAAGAATTTCTTCAAAATGTTCAAGAAAAGAGACCCTAAAACGATCCAAAAAGGAAAAGTAGCCTTAATACAGCCAATCTACATATTTGACATCAGGAAAATCTCATGGCACACCACCAAGAAAATATGTCAAAAGTAACGATGATCTCACAAATTGCCTGTGTGTAAAATCTTGACCTGTTTCTTTGAACAAAAAGCTCTTCTTCGGCTGTATGAATGGCAGGTTAATTGTACCTTCCGCCATCTAGTGGAAATTCATTGAATAGTTCTGCCTGTCACTAAACGTTAACTGGCATGCATATACCTGTAAATGAACACAGATGCATGATTTGTAGCAACTAATATTTTTTTTAACCAATCAAGTGGAATCGCATCCTTTGCTGTGACATACCTGATTCCGTGATACATTTATTTCTAACATTGGTTTGGATCACGTTTACACACGAGGTCATACAAAGATGGAGAGGAGTTCAAAAACTCTTTTGACCCCAAATCAAAGCTTCAAGAATTCACCATTTTGGAACTTGCTTCTGACCTAAACCAAATTGAAAATGCATGCTGTGAGCTCAAGGGATCTGTGCACAGGAGCTGTCCTTGCAGTCTGACAAATTTGGAAAGCTTTTGGGAGCGACGGCTTCAGCTAGTAAGTACAGATGAGTCATCCTGATAGATTCCAACCCAGAAGAACCGAATGCTCTATGAAAATGTGCTTGAAGAAACTACGA